CTTCTCACAGTGCCTTCCCATCGAATTCCCGTGGCTTCCTTCACACTGGATCACTCCTATTACTGACATTCATATCTGGGATGTGACTTCTAACAGGACTGAAGACGTCTGCATTAGGGTTTAGCTGCAAGGTCTGGAAGGGGCTTGCCATTGTCTGGGGCTGATTAAGTCGATGGTTAATGTATCCTCCTTGTGTAAAATACAATAAATCGTCCTTTAACGTATCTAATTCGCTTTTAAATTTACTAATGTTTTCCGTTGTACTTCTTGTTTCATTTCTTGTTCCAGTTGCCACTGCTGTAGTCCCTCTTCTTGTTTCTTTTCTTTTTCCTCCAACAACTACTGTAATTTCTCTTCTTGTTTATTTTCTTTCTCCTCCAATAGCTGTTGTAATCTCTCTTCTTGTTTATTTTCTTTCACCTCCAATAGCTGTTGTAATCTCTCTTCTTGTTTATTTTGCTGTTCGAGCTGCCACTGTTGCAAGTTTTCTTGCCATTGCTGTAATCTCTCTTCTTGTTTATTTTGCTGTTTGAGCTGCCACTGTTGCAGGTTTTCTTGCAACTGCTGTAATCTCTCTTCTTGTTTCTTTTCTCGTTCTTCTTGTTTCTTTTCTTGTTTATTATCTTGTTCTTCTTGTTTCTTTTCTTTTTCCTCTAATAACTGTTGTACTGTTGTAATTTCTCTTCTCGTTCTTCTTGTTTCTTTTCTCGTTCTTCTTGTTTCTTGTGCTGTTCTTGTATTGCTGCCATTAAGTCTGCAAGGCTGTAGTTTGATTTACCGCTTCTCGTTTCCATTTTTTTATCCCACTTCTGACACCAATTTGTTACGTCTCCGTTCGTTAGTTAATTTTCCGTAAATTCTTTCCGACTAAACTTTAGCGACACAAGTCCTTTCTTAAATAAAACTGGTTTATTCTTTCCGAATACAACTTTACGATACACTTAATTTCAACAGTCGCTCTATAACAAACGCTATAACTCACGCTCACGTGACCAACACTATTCTGTCCGCATACATTCAATTAGTCATTACCTCCCCGTCGCTTCGTGGCCGGTCTTATATATACAGGACTATACTATATCTAGAAG